GGAAACCCGGTTTCTAGCATTGTAAGTCCGCAGACATACCACTGTGCCACTGGGGGGGCGTGCCACTTGGAGGGAGGGGCGGTAGATAATAAGAATATTAAATCCAATGAACAGCCCCAATGATCAAATTCTTTTAATGTATGTTTCATATGTAGTGCACTGTAACTTATAATTAAAAACTGTTTTAACTGCTTAAACCTAGTTCAATTAAATGAAGTAAATATATGTAACTGTAAATTCAATTAATGAAGAATTACAAGTTATATAGTTACAGAATAGCTACAGGAATTTTTATTATTGCTGTTAAGCTACACAATAGGATATCTGTGCTTTGACCACTGCAGGTATCATGTGAAGTATTGCAATAGGGTCAATGTCGGTAGTGCTGCCATCTAGTGGTTATTTTATTAATTATAATAATAAACTTTTTATATAGCTGGTTACGAGTTACTTTTAAGCACAAGCGAATTGATACTGTTAAAACTTGTTGGTTTAAAGATGGGTTAAGTCTCCACTGCGTATAACAGGCCTCCCAGTGGCACAGCGGTATGTCTGCGGACTTACAACGCTAGAAACCGGGTTTCGATACCCGTGGTGAGCAGAACACAGATAACCCATTGTGCAACTTTGTGCTTAACTTCAAACAAACAAACAAGCCGTTTAAACCCGTTTTTTTTTAGCCCTCGGCCTTACTGTTTAGCTATCGTGGAGGGGGGGGGTAGGTACAGGAGTAGAAAAAAAAATACGGTTGAAATTTTAAAACTTATTAGTGATAAATTAACACTAAAAATGGTAGTGTCAAAATGAAGTTTCTTCACAAGTTAAAATACGCTGTCGTTAGACCAAAAATTAAATAAGGTAGAGACAGTGATCTAAGTAATTACAGACAAATCGTTTTTATCGTCAGTCACATCAAAACTTCTTGAAAATTAGTTAAAGAAATATTTATCAAAGCTTCAGATTCAATACTTTTTTTTTCTCAATTGAGGTATATTAAAAACAAGAATACAGAGGTGGTTAATAAATTCGATTATTTTATCAATTATGAGAATATTTTTATATTTTTTTTAGATATATCAAAAGCTTGTGATCCAATTCTTGAATCCCTTTAGAATATTCAATTGTCTAAAGCGTCAACCAACT